TGTGTGTGTGTGTGTGTGTGTGTGTGTGTGTGTGTGTGTGTGTGTGTGTGTGTGTGTGTGCGCGCCACATGTATGTATGTGTCTGTGTGTGTGTCTTTAACATGTGTAGCATGTGTGTGTCACATGAGTTTCGCACGAGTACGACACGTCATACTCGCGCTGCTCCGACCAGATGCGTCGGCACACTGTGAGCAGGATACAAGACGTGGGGGGTGATTTGTGTGTCCATTTGCGGTGAGGGTAAAACAAGGCCGTTTTAGCTGAAGGCAGCCAACTACACGAGGGTGGCAAAACGACGCGAGGGGGGTGGGGGTGCCTCTTTCCTTGAGGAGTAATCCAACAAATGCAACCATTCCAAACTTCCGAATCAAATTAACATGCTTATACAATTCACACCGCAAATCCCAACAGGTCACTGAAAAATACACATGCATCTGCAAAGTGCAAACCATCAACCCATCCTGGTGAGACCGCCGTCACGGATAAAAAACGGGCATCATTTGGGAACCGGATGAGGAAGAGAGGGGGGGAGGAGGAAGAAAGGAGACGAGGAGGGATGAGAGAGGAGGGAGAAGGAGATGAGGCAAAAGGATGGAGAGGGAAGGGGGGGAGAGAGAGAGAGAGAGAGAGAGAGAGAGAGAGAGAGAGAGAGAGAAAGGAAGGAGAGAGAGAGAGAGAGAGAGAGAGAGAGAGAGAGAGAGAGAGAGAAAGGAAGGAACGGATCGAAAAGAAAGTTTCAGAATGATATAACGAAAGCAAGCAAGACAGAAAGACCAAAGGAAAGAAAGAAAGAGAGAAAGAGAGAAAGAGAGAAGGGGAAGAAAGGAAGGAGAGCAAGGAAAGGAAAGGAAGGAAGGGTAGAAAAGGGTATTTCCTGGCGCGGAAGAGGGAGAGGAGTGCACACATATTATGGAGGCTACCGCAATCAGGCGCTGAGGAAAGGAGAGGCTAGATTGCACAATTGAGATCACAAATATTGCTGCTCCAATACCCATGAACAAGATGATTGGCCCTTGACACGAAAAAACAATTGATTATATCGCACACCTCACTTCTTTGCTGTCAACTGTCCATGTAGTTCCATGAAGGGTGAGAAGGGAGAATGGAGGGGATAGGAGAGACGGGAGGAGAAAGGGGAAGAGGGCAGGGGGAAGGGAGAGGGGGAGATGATGATTCCGCTTCAGCTTTATCCTCCAGATTTAGTGCGCTCCTGTATTCTCGCGGATCATCTCGCCGAATTGCGGGAAGGGCGTGGCAGTTCCCTGAAGCGCTTTTCTACCCCATGCCACGTGAGGTGTCGTTAGAGGGAGGGACACCTTCCATGGTCTTTGGAAGGCGGGGGGGCGGTTGAAGGAGCACGAGGGGGGATGTTGCGAAACAAGGATGATGGATGGTTCTGGGGACGGGGGGCGAGGGTTGGGGAGGGGGAGAGGCGGGAAGAGAGCTCATGTGGAAAGGGACAGGGAAGGGAGTAGATGAAGTAGAGAAAGGAGAGGAAGGAGAGGAGGAAGGAAAGTCAAAAGGGCGCATGACGAAGTCGTCGCCGTTGATCTATGCTTCATTGCCTCTCCTCGTTGCAATTTCTCCTCCTAGCTAATCATTAAGTCTACGAGTAGCGCCGAGCTCAAAGAAAAGGCAGCAGCAGCCTGCGAGGAAGAGAGTTACAAAACAGACGGTACTCCCGATCAGAAGTGCAAAGCGCCTAGAGGACAAGCGGAGAAAAACTTCCTCACATAGGCACGTAGCGAAGCGTGAGCTGGCTATTGCGAGATTTGGAAGCAGAGCGAGGAGGAGGAGAAGCAAGAAAGCGGCGTTTCACACAGACGCGAAGGGGCACAGGTGAGGCACAGCAGGTTCGGCAGGGTAGGTGGAGGCGGTCTGCATGACGTTTGGCCAGGGCGTGCCTAGGTGAGGGTTACGAAGGCAAAACCGGGAGGGTGCCACTAGTCGGGAACATTACCACTTCCTCCACCGCCTGCTGTTCCTCCTCCAGGTCCCAGTCGGCGAAGAAGTCCATGCCGCTTGTCGTCACACTCAACTTGCAAAATCCCAAAATCGGAACGCGTCATGCTCTACCTGTTGTCAGAATCGATTACCGCACGGTGGTCCCCTGCGCTCTGTTTTGATGTATTTGCGGTGCCTAACTAGGAATAGTAATCTTCCGATTGAAGCTACCGCTCCTACTCACACGTTTCATGCAGTAATCCTACGGCCGTGAAAACAACAAAAAGGACAAAAAAAAAAACGGAACAAAGGAAAAAACAAAAGGTAGAAAGACGAAAAAAAGAAAAAAAACGAAAAAAAAGAAACCAAGACCGATGGAACAAAGGCCTATTCCAGGTCCCATGCGTCCAGCACCCGTGTACTAACGCGGCCTCCAATCTCTCGTCGTAGTTCGAGAGCGAGTTGTTCCTACAGTCTGTATCTAGCTGATTATATTGCCCGGGGGGGTCTTATTCGAGGCCAATGACACACGTAGGCAAAAAAAAGTTACGAGCTGTCTTTTATTATTACTACCTATACTAAAAAACGAAAAACTGGAACAATGAAAAAGAAAAGAAGGAAAAAAAAAAGAAGAAAAAAAAAAGGAAAAAGGAAAAAAAAAAAAAAAAAAAAAAAAAAAAAAAAAAAAAAAAAAAAAAAAAAAAAAAAAAAAAAAAAAAA